TTCATTGCGAAAGATTGCTTTCTAGAAAAATTGTAACATTAGGAATTCCAAATCGAGTAGTAGCAAGTAATCGATCCAGATGTGTCCCGAAAGTATTTTTGGTTGATCGAAAGGTAATTGCCTCTTTATTTTTTTTTTCTTTTTCTTTTTAATAGATAAACGTATACGTATCTCAACCAACTTCATTCTAAATAGCAAATTCACCGTGTACACCTGACAACTACTGTTCGAGCTACTGTTTTTTAGAAAGAAAAAAATGCAAAGATCTCGTTAACAATTCGTCGTTATTTGGCGCCGATTTCAAAACGAAAAATGGAAATATTTTAATGTGCTAAAAGGAGGAAAAAAAAGTATCAAAATTGTTAAATAAATTGTTCCTCGAACTGTTCTTTCGTCGAGAAAGACAAGAACTTTTTTGAACGCGGAGCCACGAGATTGAAAAATGACAAAATAAGAAATATATCGTCTAACAAAGCTTTCACGGGGAATTCGTTCTTTCGTTCGTACACGAGTAAAACAGAGAACGCAGTTACTTTTTGGCCAACCTGACCTGTTTGTCTCACAGCGTTTTTCAATTTTAATTTCAATTTTACTGGTATGGTACCATTTATCCTAGATGTAATTGCACATTCTAGTTAGATTCGTTAATCTTCGCTCGCGTAGATTTTATTGTTTCCGTGTTCACGCGATATCTGTTTGCCAGACGGTAGTTTGAGCGACACGGCGATCGGTTTGAACATGGAGGACTCGAGAAGGGGTCGCAAAAGTTCGCCAGGGAGTAGCAGCGGCGGCGGAAGCGCGATGCAGTATCAGCCAGGTCTTGGGAAGAAAAGTAACAGCACCAGTCAGCTGTCCGCCACAGGTAACACATCGTCACACTAGTCGTTTCTTGCAGTTTCACGTTTTAGACGTTGCGTGCGTTGTGTTGCCGTACTTTGCCCGGGAGATTCGATAGATTCAAGAGCGGTCGTGTGAAGACACTACTTTTTCTATTTCGCATTTCATACATTTGTTCTCGCGCGATCTTGCTAGACTATCTTTTTTCCTGTCTCTTCTTTCTATCTGTCATTTTGATATAGTCGATCTTTTTGTAATACACATACATACATACATACATATATATATATATATATATATATATATAT